GGATACGAATCATAGCCTTGGAAGTTGTGAGCCAGAAACGTATATTCCTTCCATGTGTCTGTCTTAGGTCCTAACAACCAATTCATAAAGTCTTCGATGGTATCAAAGGTCCACAAGCGTTTACGACCACACGTGCCCGTACAACCACGCGTACGGCATTCTTCAATGTAGTCTTGACATTTTTCGCAGACGAGCAAGACGACTACCTTATTGACAACATGGTGTTCTTCCAGGCAACGTGTTTCAAAATCGAAAAAAGCCAATTTCATCGATCGTTGCCGTACATCAAAGTCTTTCTCGCCATGCCCCACGCTTTGAATGTAGCATTGGTGTTTTCCGCGTGTCACACCGTGTTCGCCACAYACGGAACAATTGAATGTGTGACACTTGTGATTGGATCGTGGCGTCATGGTTCCTTTTTGCCATAGATCCACAATGCAATAGCATTGATTACATTTGAAACGGCGTTCGCATTGAGTGAAARTTATGTTCTTTTCWCTTCGACGTTTGYGGTGATAGAGAAAACATTCTCGAGATGGAAATGAYAATCCACAATGTTTACAGGCGATATCCTGTGAATGGCATTTGGAGCGTTGATGCGGCTTGCTTGCATGGCCACATCGYAGACAGCCTCGTGTACATTTATGGCGACTCTTGCTTGCGTACCCCTTCATGCATGTGGTGCAAAAGTACACTTGACCGATCCACGCCGGCATCGAACGGATCCACATAAAATGTTCTTTATTCAAATTCAAAAACAACGAGCGGGATCCCTGTCCATACCGCGCCAACACGCGTTTCAAAGTTTCATCGTACACCACGATTTGAAACGSCTGTTGCGCTTGATTTGCTCGGTAATGTTGGTTCAGTTTTTCAGTCCAAMGTTTCACAGTYTCYAAATTAGAGGATTGATTCCATGATTCTTGCATCTCCATTTTTTCAAACCATTGTCTCAACGTTCCCTCTTGGTCTGGTTCATACTTCCATTCTTTCAARGCTTGCCATAAGGACGCTCCTAGACAATTGCTCTCTTCCCGTCCAGGATCGAACCGACATCTTTTACGTTGAAGTTCTTTTTCCGTGCACTTGAAATGGGCTTTTCGTTTTCGACTGCTTGGACGAATCGATTGTTCTTCGGAACATTCGTGATTACGCCGCCCATGATACGATCCGCCACATTTCAGACACAATTTTACTTTCTTTCCAAACACCTGCATGGGGTTTCGAACTTCACGCCATTCCTTGTCAGGCGTCACCCACAAGACCAATGTCTTCTCCGTGTTTTGGCATCGGCTTTTCCATTTCACTTTATGGGCCGTATTCCAACCCGACGGTTGATGCAACACAAGCACGTTCACGTCAGGATGACGTCCACACCATTCAGATAAGAATAGAGTCCAATCCTTTTCTTCTCCTTCTTCTTCTTCTTGTGGACATTGATGGAGTCGCAGAAAACGGTTCAAAACATCTTGCAATTTTGTCACGGCCACCATCACTTGCCGGTCTTTTAAGTAATCCATACGATCAAGCGTCAAAAGATTGTTTTTCATCGTTCGTCCGTTGGCTTGGTGAGATTTAACCACGGTCACACTCAAAGTCAAGGAGGCTCCCATTAACCATTCTTTTTTGGATTGTTGAACTCGATTGATGGCATCCAGCAAAGCACGATGTTGTTGTTCAGGGGAATGGAAGGCATGATACGGTATGAACAAAGGATACGTCAAATCTCCTCCCATGATCGATAGTGAAATGCGATCTCGAGGTTCAAGATTCTCTCGTTCCCAAATATGTACAATGGCTCGTTGAAACACCAAATCCACCCACAATCGCCCGTTGTATAGCGCTCTCTCTTCATTTGTTTCCAAACGAAGCTTTTGATTTTCTTCCGTCACAAAAGTATAGTCAATGGTTCTTGTTCGAAACTTATTGGAAAATGAAGTCACTACCCTTTTGGTTGATTTAAAGAAATCGTTTT